TTAGAGCACTCGTATACCGACCCTGTCTTCTCATCATAAGATGCGCCCGATATTATGCAAACCCCTTCCTATTCGTGTCATTCATATTATGTATTAATAAAAAAGAAATTCTTGAGAAAAGGTTTCATTCATTTAAATGATATCCCATTATAATAGCAGATGCAAGTTATACACTATAAATTTACTCAATATTTATAAATAATTCACTGAAATATAAATTGAAACTCAGATATAAGCTTTATCAATGTTGTGCGATTTTATATTAAGTTGTAAGTATTTATATCTTAAGCGAAAATTGATTTTTATTTTAGATCATAGTTTAAACGCAAATCAGTCTTCATTACTCTTATGAGTTGACAGCAGTTTTTGCACAAACCCTTAACGCAAACACTTGAAAAGCAAATGCATTAATATTTAAGAACATAAAATGTGTTTCTCTAATATTTATGACCAAAACATTTCTATTATCATTGTCTGAACAATACTAAGTTATAAATGCAGCGATAATATAGCGCTCCCGATATTGCAAACACAGAATATTCTGTTGTGTGTAATAATAACGAAAAAAGTGTGTTTACTCACAGCTATGAGCCAACCGGACAAGTATTTACATAAAGATATTTTCGTAATAATAGCGACAAAAGTCATTCTCATGAAAAATCCATAAGTGCTCTGAAATAAAGCATTGTGTTATGGAAAGCAAACAAATGTATTGTTAGAATCGGAAATAATTAGAACTAGGTCTATTTTTATATGTATTTTTAGATTAAATACATACGAATTCTTGGGAATTCAAGTATTGGTAGGGCCAGGACAGGGATCCAATCTGGTAAATGGCCAAATATGTTAGGCCGACCATCAAACGCTGTACTCCTGGAAGCCAACTATCAATTCAAATACAAAAGTTTGTGTCCATTATTATGCGATTTAAATGAAACTCAATTATTGAATATTGAATTACCATTTTGGCAAAAAGTTTTCGTTTGACTCAATGTATTTCAAATAGTTTTTATATTTGACTTGCGGTCCGATTAGGACGGATCCGGGAAAGTAGGAGTGAGACAACAACTCTAGAAGTGTGGGAATCTCTGCAACCGCTGTGTCTTCGTTGATGAGCTGTCTGTCCACTGTTTGCGAGCCTTTCTTTGCATTGTTTGGAGAACTATTGGATGACTTTATGCTTGCATTTCGGTGTCCGTCATAGACATCGAAAGTGAGGGCAATTAGGCGTAGAGTTAGCACACATTGAGGTATAGTCCACGTGAAGCTGTATTCCGACCCGATTTGTGTCACATAATAACCCCATAAGAGATATGTCTAAAAGAGTTCAATATAAGTGCAATCGATTACTGAATGCATTTTGTGGCAAACAATGTATTTCTATATTAATTAGTGTAATGAATGTTGGGATCAGCCATACATACCATACAAAATGTCAGATTGAGTGCCACTGCAGATCGTTTCGGTCCGATTAGTGTCAACACTGTGTACACGAATAGACAATTCACCACAGAATGGATTGTATCGATCCCTGCAATACATATTCACATCATAACAAAACTCTCAGTTTATATTATCATTGTATGGAAAACAGTCCAATAATACACTAATTATAATATAATCGATGCGAGAATATTGGATAAAGTTTAGCACATTTGACGTATTCTTACCGTAATTGAAGTAACAAAGAAATAAACCACAACTTGTATAATATATGTGTTTCACTACCACTGGTTTGTTAGCCAGGAATATGTTGTACAGAATACACAGTGGATATCCTAATATTCACAATCATATAAGGAATTAATTTAATTATATTGACATTCAAGTGGATAATATAATTGAGATTAATAGTATATTTATTTATAATCAATAAAAATAGTTAATTAAATCAAATTCTTAACATTCACTAGAAGTTAGAATTTAGCGGTTATTCAATGATTACCCAAATGAGCCGATACTATAAGTCTGAGAGCATTCTCATGGCACCCGACCTTAGTTGCTATCGTATTGAATATGTGGTCCATTTCAAGGGTTCATTTCCATCGACAATATTAATTAATTTAATACTTATTTAACACACTTATAAGGTCTCACTTTTTTTCAACACATTATTTTGAATTTGTTGTCCAATCGATAAGTATTTTCTGTTTGGATGTCTCACACACTGAATGCACACACTTTTCGCACTTTCTTTGCTGTAAAATCACCAAAATATAAGGGAATCAATAAATTAATGCAAAACTCGATGCGATAGAGTGAGCGCACAGTAGTCCCAGAAATCGCAAACTTTTAATTATATTTGATTTTTGTTTCACTTAAGTTAAATAATTTATGTTAAAATATAATTAATGTGTTACCGTATTATATTATTATAATACAGTATATTTACATTACAGTTATATAAGATAAAATGAACTTATTTTTGATTAAATGAACTAAAATATAATGTTATGTCATATGCAGTACTACTTATACCGATATATTCACATTTTATAAGTCGATACATTCATGGCTTTATAATCACATAATCATAAATTGATAAGACATGTGAGTTGAATGAAATTTCTCAATTCCTTTAATATAATGTTTATCAATTGAACGATACTTGACTTTATATTAACATTTGTTTATTTATATATCACTGTATTTATTAAAACTTCTATAATTTAGTACTCAAATAGCATTTAGTGATTATTCTAGAGTACACTGTGGTGTGGAGTAGAGTGGAGTACATACACGACAACTGCACAACATTTTAACGGTTCATTCATTGGCCTTCAAACCAAAATGAATTTATAATATTTTTGTAATTTAATATTAAGATTTGAAACTTTATAATTATTAATTTAATCAATTTTTAAAAATATAATTATCACACTTCTGATCACATTTATCACATATTCAATTAATTTTAAAAATAATTTTTAGTTAATGTTAACTAAAATAAATAATTTAGCTAATTTAAAATTATCATTTTTATAAAATATACGATATTATTTAAATGTTTTTAGACGTACACTCAATTATATACACAATACGTTTTTATTCACTTTCCCATTACATAACTCCTAAGTTATCAGGAAATTTTTATAAAAAATATTATGTATAATGGATTCATATACAGTATACAGGTAGAATAATTTTTTATTTCAAATCAAATATACCGGTAAAATATATTGAACTATATTACTACAATATTATTACTATATTATTATATTTATAAGCTATAGTCAATAAAAATATAACTTCTCTTTAATATATATATAATTATATATTAAATATATATATATATATTCCTAAATTAGAAAATTATAATTATCTATTCAATACTAACAAAAAACTATATTAAATATAATACACATACTATTAGAAAAAAATAATAATATAAATTTATTATTTAATTTACTGCAAATATTTATAGCAAATTTAAATGTTATGATGTCAACAGTAGGTTTGCTAAACACTCGTGTTTATCATTTACTTCATTCAATGCAATGGCATACTTGGAAAAATAATATGCCTGATGTTTAAATCGGGACAAAAATGAATTGAATCCTTGAATTTTCAATGAATTATATACTGTTTTGTCAACATAGACACTATTTTTAATTATAAATATCGTCAAAATGAATAGTGAATTGTATTCAATATTATTAATATATAATTTTTATATATAAAATTAATTAAATATATTATATAAATATATTATATCACTTAAGTAATACAGAATTACTAGTTCAAATAAAGTATAATGCCTTGAATATTATATTTCCATTTATTTAATCTTTAACTCATTTAATTTAACATTGAAATAAATAATATCAAATACAATAATTATAGATCTTAAAATATTGTTTCTGATTATTGACTTTTAATTGTATACAAGATATACTGTATGTTTTATTATAAATTATAAATAAAATGTAAGTAAGATCAATTACATAAAGTTTGAACCGTATACCAAACTTTTATACCAAACTTATACCAAACTTTAAACTTTTTAGAAACTCTTACTTTAATCGAAACCAATAGACGTCAGCATAAGCTCAATATCAGTCAAAATTATAGAATTCTACAGAATTACAGAATATATGATACAAATATTAATTAAAAGTTAATTTAAACTTAATTATTTTTACGAAATAATTTAGCTTAAAATCATGAGAACTTTAACTTAATTATATATTACTTTAAAAAATTTATGTGAAAAACATAATGAAATAATTTACGAAAGCATACAATAAATCATAAAAACTTTATTTAAATGAATAAAAATACTTTTTTAAGGTAACATTATTAACGAACATTTATTAATATACTCTGAATTTAACATTAATTTGCTTTCAAACCAAACATTTAAGAAATATTTGGAAAACAAATTTCATTTATATTACAATTTGTTTAAATTAATGGTTATTTTGCACCAAAATTGGAGATAATATTAATAATTATATTAAGTTTTGTTTGTATATAAGAGAAAAATCATTTAGACTTATGTATAGAGCATATAATCAAATGATTGCACTTAAAATCAATCAAAAATCACTCATAATTATTATAAATACAAATGATATGTGTATTTAAATATGAGGTAGAATTAAGTCTTTACTTATGGCAAGGTTTGTATATTTCCTATAAATGTTTTTTTGTGGAAACTAATACAATTAGATAATTGTTTTTTGTATTAAGTCGATATGTTTCAAGATTTAATTTACAGTAAAATGAAATTCTTATAATATGTTATTTAAGTTAAATTATTTAAATAATGAATTAAATTAATTATATCTAGTATTGATGAACCCCTAATATTTTGTTAACTAATAATTAGTTTTAAATATATTACTTGTTATACAATGTATATAATTCGGAATAGAAATAATCCAAAAATATTTAAAACAATATTAATTACTGGCTATTAATAAAAAAATTGCACATAAATTCACACCAAATAAAGTATTCAATAATTAATTGATAACAAGCACGAATGTAACATTAAAAATAGGTATTCTTACAAAAAACATGTTCATTGTATTGAAATGAAAAAATTATACCTAAGACTATGCATATGCACATTAAAATAAGTTTATCTCAAATAGCGTATGTAATAGATTGAAATATAGGTGTTTGTATATAATTGTGAAAATTTTGATTTGATCCATAATGAAAACTTGAATATAAATTCTAGTTTGTTTAGCTTGATTAGTTTTGTTGGAGTATAAGCTGCTCTAATTCATCGGCCGATCGCAAGAGAAAGGCCGCCGACTCCCGGTATCCGGCGATGAGTTGCTTCACTGCCGCCACTTCGCTCGGGTTTAACGAGTAATGGTTCCCATTGGGGGCTGTCTTACCATTGGCTGACACATTCCCAGTGTTCCCATTCACCAGACTTGTACTGCCTGTGCCTGACAGACATCACATCAACAATCAATCAATAAAAACATATATATTCTCCAATCGAGTCCACAGTTTTTACACTAAATCCCAACATAACTCTCAATTCGTCCCATTAGTGTGAAATGGAGTTTGATTTTCATAATCTCTACATTATTTTAAAACTACATTTTAGATTTAATCCCTAATATGTATGTAATGCTTAATATTTGTAATAATTATAATTGTTAATGAAATTTGATTTATTCATTACATAATTGGACTCATTATAAGTGATAAGCAATGCATTAAAGTGTAGGAAAAGAAGAAGAAATGATTCGCTTTTGATTTTAAGCATTCATTTGAGAAGTAATGCACAGAAAGTTGTGAACCACTACTGACTGCATGACTACAATAAAAATCTTTCGGAACATAAGAACTGAATCGATAGCAGAGAGAGAGAGAGAGAGAGAGAGAAAGAGAGAGAGAGAGAGAGACGAGTATAAGACTAGCATTTGTGATACAACTCCCTCAACACTACTACTCTATTGCTACTACTGTTCCCCTCAGTGTTTCTATCACTACAACTACAATACTATACTATTGTATGTGTTGTTAGAGTTAACGGCACAACGGAATGGAAAAGAAGTTTTAAAGAAAAACGAATTGTTTTTTGTGTGAATGAATAAAATCGTGAAAATAAAAAAACTGACCGTTTTCTGAAGCAATGGATTGTTGATATGGAAAAGACAATAAATTAGGATTAGTTGTCGCGCTTTGTTGAAACACTTGCACAGCGCTGGCGGACGTGGAGGTGGCGGTGCAACTGTGGACAGGCGGAGGGTTTCCGCTGTTCGACACTTCGTTCTGACGGCACAGAAAGAGATGGCGAAAGAAAAAAGAAGAAGAATTAGTCAATAAACTGAAAGTCGAAATAAAATCAAAATAAAAGTGCTTTTTATTAATTTCTGGCAAAAAGAGAAAGAATCGCAGAAATGATAGAATTTTTATGAAATAATTAGAATTCATGTTATGTTAGGCACAGAGAGACTGAATGCCAGATAAGTCTCATATGGTATCGTAATATTGATATAAAAAGAGTAGTTATGAGAGGAGAGGAGAGATAGAGGAGAGGCAGGAGAGGGGAGAGGGGGAGAGGAGCTCGCGATGGGAAGACATACTAAGCTCACAGAAATAGGTTTGAGTCCCATTCGCATCCTTTTGGCGTTTTGGCATTCATTATCACAGGCTGTCGCCAGGATTTGTTCAGCCATTGGCGACGTGAGATGGTATGACACATGAGATGACGGCCCGCTCTTGCCAGTGGTCGGTGGGGATGATTCACTCCAAGCCCTGCCGTTCTCATTGCCTGAAGGCATGCCCGGCGCTGTCGTTTTATGGCGTTTAGTACGTCGACAGGACTTGAGATAAGTGCGGATCCGCTTTCGGGCCCTTTCGCTGAACTCCGGGAACTGTCGGCCGCAGCTCTCGATTATGGCCTGTATTTTCTCCTTTGGCTGACGAGAGATGGGAACCATTCGGTCGAGATTTTCGTCGACGAATAGTCTGACAAACATCTAATATAACGATAATAATGGCAACAAATGAGCAAAAACTGGTTTCACTAATAAGGGTTTGTATGGAATTGTATGCAATTGTATTGAGTATTGAGTTGTCTCTACATTGAAAGCCTTGAGCCTCTCGGGATCGTATGCGCCACTACTCTGCTCTGCCAACAGTCTGTCTCCAAGTTGTAGATCATTATCCTCGTCATCATCTTCTTCCTCATCTTCATGTATGACTCGCTTTCCGTTATGATTCCAGTGCTCTGAGAAGCCATGGCTGCCATGAATCGAGTGACTCTTCTTAGAGCCCACACTTCCATTGTCTCCACCATTGGTGACAATCTTGGAAGCGCTGAGTTTGGCTCTCTTGGAGCACATATTCAAGGGCTGATCGAAACAAATAGCGGTCTCACACTTGACACGACTCATGTCGAGGGGAACGGCCTCCTCGTCGAAGTCGGTCTCGTCGAGTACTTCTTCTTCTTCATCGTCGTCATCGTCATCGCCAGTGATTTCTTCACAGACAGCGTCTGAACAGAGATTGAGATTAAATGATAGAAATTTATTCATTAGCGGCGAGTCTTGCGTTACACAACATTTTGTGATTAGCGAAAGGTATAGACATTTGGAGAATGAAAGCAAAACATGAGTTGAAGGAAAGGAGAGATGAGATGAGAGCGGAGGGTATTAGAGAGTTGAGGATAGAGTGGAGAAGGAATGGCAGGAATGGCAGGCAGTGGTGTTCAGTGATGTTGTGTGCACTGGTAGGCACTGGTAGTGTACTGTATTATTTACCGTCACTGTTTGCAGCAGTGGTCTGATCCCCATTGTGTGCACTAATGTCAGCATCAGATGCGCCGGTCTCTGTCTCCGATATCATTTCCTATTGAAAGTAAAGGCATAGACAGTCACTAAACACAAATCCATACCAAACACAGGCAAAAGAGATACCAATTGGATAGCACTGACGAGCTATAGCTGTCTCTACAGAGTGTAGAGAAGATAGAGAAGAGACACTCATGTGATTCACAAGAGAAATGCTCGGATCAAATGCAACACTCATACAAACTAAGACTAAAGTAGAGGCCATCACTTTGGAACCTCCACTCAACGTCTCTAATGGTTGTACTAAGAACTCAATGTCTCTAATGTGTGGACTGCCGTCCACTCAATAATTATTGGCCTTTCATTTGGGATGCGTTTCGCAAACCTTTCAAACCGTCAAAAATCAATTGGTTTGGGCTTTAAATGATTCGTTTCACCCAAAAGATTATTATTTGTGGTCCTCTCTAACCATCACAACAATATGTTTCACTAAATTCCAGTCTTTCCAGTCCTAACCCAATGTAACCCAATGTATGCCATCACTGCATACGATATCAATTCCAGGCACACATACTCTCTCTCTCTCTCTCTCACCCATTCTCTCTCCCTTTCTCTCGCAATCTCTCACTCTATTCACTCAAATACATGAAAACTTTTTACGCGTCCATTAATCAGACCCTTTTCACTAACTCTCATCACTGTAAAGACTAATTAGTTTTAAAACAACTAATATTTTCAAATGTAAGACAAAATTTCTTTTTATTTCTGATCGACACTCCACTGGATACAGAAATGTGTGTTTAGTGTCGACTGAAAGCTGATGTGTATATCGAGAGTAAAACGTAATGCTTTTAGTATTAGTAGAAATGCCTGAATATAAGGGAATATAAGTTGTGTATCAAAGTGTGCACAATATTTTCCACGACTAGAGTTTGTGTTCTGCATTCAACGCTAAGCTTACAGTACAACACACATTGGGAACTGACAGAACTGCCTGTGCGGGCACTACTGGATCAAATGAATTCAATCCTATCTCTATGGCAACTAAAGCAGCATTTAGTTTAGGACTGAATGTGGAGCAAAGCACGAGGCGATGCAGGCCTTACGCACAGACAACCTATAACTGTATGACAAAAACTTGTTGATTCTTTTCTTTCAAATGTTACCAACACTTACACACAAACCCTTCAAACATACTCACGAATCGTACAGAATATTCTTACTCCACATATATTGCAAACCTGTACTCTATTTAGGTTTTTATTCAGAAAAAGGACTAATTATTGTCGTAATACTAGAGTGTCTATTAAGAGCAACCCTTTGAATATGAGTCTCTATCAGTGCCATCAAATAGAGTGGTGGAGCACTTACATCATCAACCTCTTGGCCATCAAAGCCAAGACATGGTGCTGTCGGCGCAATGAGTGAGTCTCCCATAACATTATAAACAAAGCCCGCATTTCTCATACGCTTTATTGTCGTCGTTAACGGCAATGAGTAGTCGATATCGAGTGCTGTCTTTGGCTGACCATCAACTCTATGCTCGTGAAGGAGACTCTTTCGCACAGAACTGCAGATCCAATGGTTAGGGATTATAAAAGACACTAATTATTATCTGTCGTTCTGTTCACTACAGTACCAGTAAATGCAATACTCGTTAATACTATACCTTTTAGGGCCAGTTTTACTGCCGGCGCTACCAGTGATAGCATTAGTGCAGCCATTGGTTCCCTGCAAATGCATTCGCTTCTGGCAGTCGGAACAGGACATCAGAAAACGAGTCACTGCTTCTCGCGGTAGGAATGCGTACATCTCTGCCACCTGTCATACAATCACACCGTCAGCCCATCCATACATACAAACACAGCGCACATACCGCTAAGACAGCGGACATTGCTAAAGCTTTCGTCTCTAAATTACATTATTTATAACACTATCTCTTATTTCCGAACTATTGCTTCAATTTCTCAATTCTATTAAATTCTCTCTAAATCATTGATTTGAGACCAGTGTTGACCTCAATATACTTATTAGGGGACGGGTGGTCTTGAATTTGTTTCGCATAAGTCATGTTTAAGTAATTCATTCAATGTAATTAGTAATATATACAGTATAGTACTAACTCTATTAATAATTCCTATAAAATAGTAATCTTTAAAATGTAAATTAAATGGATTGTCAACGAAATGACTGCTCTATCGAAGAGATTCTTTATATAAGATATAATTCAAAGACTTTATGAATAGGAATGGATAGAAGACTCACAGCTTTATACGTCCTTTTCTGTCCTGCGTGTCGACCTAATTATCATTGAATCAGTTTTATTAAAAAATATAATTAAACATTTGAGACAATCTCTAGATATACCTGATCTGCCATCCATTTCCACGTGAACATTATATATGATGTCAAAGAAGTTCTCCACCACTTAATATAACATGAAATATAAAATATATGGTTTTTAAGAATTTGGATTTTTTCTCTGAAATATTCTGTTCACAATATTCTTAGCCTTTTCTACAGTAATAAGAATATAAAGAAAACATAAAAATTGTGCTCAAAATTATTATAAACTATACAGTACTTAAGCCTGAGTTAAATAATATCAAATTATTAATAATAATAAATTTTATATACAGAAATTCTGTAACAGAATATATCGTATTATAATACAATATTTAAATGCACTACACTTTAGTGTACTATAAAAATAAATTCAAGATTTTTGGTTGAAAACTATTTGAAATCACAAAACGCCCTTATATTTGATTTAATAAAGGGTTAAATAAAAGTTTAGTTTGTCTAAAGTTTGAAATTTTCAAATATAATCTTTGGATAGAGTTTTATGTGAGAGTAAAACTCCACCCAATGATCCAAATACTTGTTTTGAGGATTTATAGCAAAAATATTCTTTGAAATGATCCCATCTCTTGACCATCAGAGATATGGCGTGTTTTATGGAGCGAGTGAATGGTGTATATAAATAATAAGTAAGTATATTATATAATACTGTACCTGCTACTTTCTTATAGATGGTCTCGTCTCGTTCTGATCCCTATTTCAAATAAAAAGCATTAATTATTAATATGAAAATAATTAAGTAATGAATACAAGAAAAAGCGTAATAAAAGTATATGTAAATTAGTTTTAAAATAATTGTAAAACATTTGAATTGAAATTTATTCATTTATTTTTGATAATTAGGTTTTCGCTTTTGATACATGGAAACACATCCAGCAAATATTTGAATACTAATAATAAAATAGTATTCTAAAGCAAAGTATAAATAGTTGTATAGTTATAACAATTGGGTTTTCGAAATGAAATATAAATCCGAAGCAAATTTTTTTGTTAAATTCACTTGTATTAGTGTTTGGGCTGCCGATCCCTTTCTATTCATATAATATGTTATGTTTAGAGCAGAGATTTGTGAGGCATAGATAGGAATACCTACTTATAGTTAATGGAACTCACATTTTGGAGAAATCTTGAACTTCTATTTCGGTACAAACATAAGAGTTAGAGTTTGGCTCTACTTTTATACAGAATTATGATGTGTTGTGTGTCTGTGTATTGAGTGCTTTGCTATCTTGCATGAGGGACCGCATCATCAGCCGCCGCACCGATCGATACACTGTGTGTGTGAGTGTGTTGTTCTTGAATTGGGCTCTACTATGCCTTCCCTTTTGCACAACCATGAGATTAGTTGCACAGAATGCCAGTCAATGCTATGTTCTATCTGTGCTCGTCGTGTGCTATACTCTACTCTCTATGTGTGTCTATGTGTGTGATGTGTGTGTGTGCTCTGCAAAGTGTATGGGTTTGGGCTTCTCTTCACAACGACTAACATCAAGCAGAATAGATCGGATGGGGAAAGGGATGGGGGGTCGGGAGACGAACGCGAGGTTGTGTTAAATCTCTTTTCGTGCTCTGTCCTGGAAACTATTTCTGAGTATACTACACTACACTATAACACTGTTAGCTATAGTACAGGCAGTGGAGTAGAGCTATAGAGCACAGCAGAGCACATACCCAACCACTGCCTCTCGTGCACAGCAATGAGTGTGAGAGGGAGGGAGAGAGAGGAAAGGGATGGAGAGATGGAAATGCGATGCAATACAATATATCTAACATTTGGTGCAATGCAGTAATGCCTTGGATTCACATCAAACTTAGGTCTCTGTAAGGCCTGAATAACAACTAAAGTTTTTTTACCAAAAAATAAGAGAAGAAAAGTAGAGAAAAGGCATTAAATGTGTGCAACAGAACAGAGATGAAAAGCACTGGTAGTGAGCACTGGTAGTGAGCACTGGTAGAGAGCACTGAGAGGTGATAGCGCTCTACCAAAGAGTACTTTTATATTAATGTATAGAAAACACAACAAGAAAAAAGCAGAGACCATATAAAGCATATATAAAGTGAATATAAAGTTATGATTTAGAGTATATGTTACTGAATATGAAAGTTATTATAGTGTAGTAAATATAATGCGTTTCTCTGGCACACAGTTGTGTAGAGTTTTGTTTTTAAGCCCACATCAGAAGGTATTTCACTAATACTGTAAGTGAACGACATATACTATTCCCACAAGTGCTCTGTTCTATGCATCACAATATGCTCAATACTGTACAGAATGTACAGCACCAGTAGTGTCTGTGCCTTTCCATACCATACCATACCATACCATACCATACGATGCCACACAGCAGCCCTCACAACCTTTACAGTGCACTTTGCATTGCTCTATACATTACAAAACTCTCAATACTATTACTGCTAATAACTGCTGCAAACAGAGCACTACAGAAGTGCACGGAATATGGAAGTGCGGGCCAACTGATGAGCCCTCACATCTAAATGAGACTACAGTGCACTACATGTGCGCCTGTATTCAGTGCCCAGTATTACCTCAATTCTCATTGTATTGAAATTTGAACATTCGTTGACTCATATACAGTGTATACCATATAAGCCCATAATTACTTAATTCATAAAATAAACCAATGGTTTCAACAAATTATGCTAAATAATTGTTGTCTGAATTAATAATAAACAAACACTTATTTCTCAAATATTCTTAAGTCTACCGAAACAGAGCACAACTCTTATGAGAACAAAGAATTTTCTCATTTCATGTTTTCACTTAATATCATATAATATAATAATAATACAGATATACTGTACAGCACTAAGAAATGTTACATAATTTCAAATAAAATAATAAAATATTGTACTTTAATATAATTTCTTGTTTTATAAAAACAACATATAAACGAAGGATACAAATAGTAGAATAGTAGCCCAAGAATTTCTCAAATTTATTTATGAATACAGTATACAGTATTTGGAGAGAGAGAGAGAGAGAGAGGCGAGAGAGAGAGAGAGAGAGAGAGAGAGAGAGAGAGAGAGAGAACTAAATATTGTCAATGCACTGGTAGATAGAGAATAGTAAAACAGAGATAGAGAATATAGAGAACCTGGCGGTTGACTGCCTGTGCTCTGAGGAACTAATTTAATATTCAATAGAGAGTCATATAAACAGGACAGACAGACAGGCAGAGAGAACAGTCAGGTTTTGAGGCGATATTGCATTCAATTTTCGATCCATTCTCTGGTCTATTGGCGAAGCACTGTATAACTCATGCACTCATACACTAAACAAAGATATCTGTCCTGTTCTGTGAAGTTATTGTTTACTGAGTGCACAGGTGTTTATAAGTTACACATCCAACACCAACCCATACCTCAATATCTCATAATATTATACATGTATTAGAAATACTGCTAACTGTTGTGCGATAACACACGAAAATAGTTTTTATAATTTGTTGATAAATAGGAAGGCATTGATTTTTGCTTTTCTAATGTTAGAATAATAATAATGAAAAATAAGAAATAAAAATTATATATTTTATTCATTATATTTATTTAAGTCGAAAACCGGGACCATTGGTATGGTGTTATGTGTTGTGATAATAGACATATTGTAGTCATAATAATGTATTAAAGAATAATTTTTGTTCATTTCATTCCATAATCAAATCAATTTCCTCGTACTCACAAATACATATAACAACTAAATATATTTTTCAAAGTTTTTTATTCAAAATCCTTTTTTGCCCAAATTTATGCTTTTCTCTATTTTGCTGACAATCGAGAGGTGTGTTTGAAATTAGATTTAGATTCTGTATTATCGTTGAATGCAATTCTCAATACAAATGTAGTTTCGACTAAAATACTTAATATGTGTGCGGTTTTCATGATATATACGGTATAAAAAGTGCATAATATTATATAATATTATATAATATTATTGTATACTTTTGTGCTCTCACTCGACGGCATACTATTCTATGTATACATTCATTGCTTCATGGAGACGCTTGCAAATTGTATTGCCGGTGCTATTCGTACAGCTCTTTATGTGCGAGTTTACATAGCTCTTAATAATCCCGAGCCCTAACACATCAAACCTACTTCACTGACATTAATATCATTTTATACAATGGCTTTCTCAATATGTTATAACACTGGAGACCAGCCATTCCGAGTGCGGCAACCATTCAATTGAGGCTTTCATTCGACAAAGAGTTAAGACTAAAACAGAATTACAATATTTTTACGAAATTTCTACTCAAATTCTATATAAATATGAGAGAAAAGCTTTTAAATGAATAATAAATAATTTTTCTCCATATTTTCAGTCAATTTTAAACTTTTCGATCAATTAGAGAGCAATTTAAAACAACTTTGGATCGTTAAATGAACAAAATGTGCCGGTAACAATTAGTCAAAGCCCAATATGATTGAATGCAAGTTATCCATAAGTATTCATATATTGATACTTAAGTAAATCTTAACAAAAAACTTATTTTGTGAACCATTCCATTCCCTAAGCCTTAATATTGAGACAAATTTCTCAAAGAAATAGTGTTCAATATTTTTGATATTTTGCTATTCCTTTGCTTTTTGCCGCAAGTGTTGATTTTGTCGTTTTCTTATTTCTATTCTGTCCTCTCATTGGCTGTAAATTATAAGTGAGAGATGGACTGCACCTATGCCTCGATGTCTTCTCCCAAATATTGCATTTATTATTGCATTTTTTGTCGACAAATTCGAGGCAATGAAACCTTATGTGATACTCACGACTCAATTCTCATATATGGTTATCATTTCATATATATTTTTCGCAAATACTTATTGCGTGTATACGAGCGGTAACTGCAATGGAGTGCATTTGGGCGTTGGTTTTGGTCAGTCCAGTGAAATATTTTTTTCTCTATTCACTCAAAGGTAGCGGAGGTTTGGGAAACCAACTTATCATTTCGAGTTACGAAACTATTTTACACCCATATTGTTATCATTAAATTTATTTCAATGAATAACTACTCTCTCAAAAATGGAGCACTTTTTTGTGTGTTGGCAAAGAAATAGTGATAACTTTTATTAGTGATAAATTGGAAGCTGATATGCCAGCCCTTAACGAACTCGCAGAGCTCTGGTAGCATAGAGAGAGCATAGAGCTCACATAGAGAGGAGAGCCTACAACCAACAACAACCTAAACCTCACACAACCTGCCAGTTCGCCCATAAAAGAGTATCGCAAAGAGCTATGCTTTATGTGATGCCCGACTGAAGTAAAAATCGATATCATTGAGAACATTGAGAACACAGTACACACACACAACTACCCACTCCTCGCTACCAACATATCCAACATATCGACGCCAATACCAGCGCTACTCAGGACCTAAGTTTGAGGCAATAAACAGACAGATAGTATGGATTGTATGAACTGAATTGCACAGAGAGATCGCATGAGAGAGACACGAGAGAGAATGTGGCAGAAGAGAGAAAGAGAGATACCGGAGAGAGAAATGCGAGAGAAATGGGAGAGAACTAGAGAGAGGATGGATAGAACGGAACTCAATGACAGAATTGTGTGAAGAGAGAAGTAAAGAGCGTAGAGAGAGAGAGAGAGAGAGAGAGAGAGATGAGTAGAAGCTATATATTAGGCAATAGTGTTGTTGAGTATATTCTGTGTTCTGTATTTTGATCTCTACTTTGGTTGTAGTCGTACTGAACACTAAAATGTAGTAAAACTGGAAAAAAGCTTTCGTCTCTTTGGAAACCTTGAGGCACACGAAAGGACCGCTCGTTCTTCACTTTCATCATCAAAGAAGTGAAGAACTATTGCACCGAAAACACCAAAAGCACAGACAGAGCACACAATGAGTACAGACTTATAGCCTTTGATTCTCTATGATGTGCACAAAATAAACGAAGTTTTATACTCTTTCACTCTAATAGTACTGTATGTGTGCTCTGCGAACAAACCCTAATAGAAAGTTAGCACTGAATGAGCTGTAGATTTGATGTAAAAGTAAACTAAAAGCACACCAATAATTGTCACCATTTTTGGTCTGACTATAGCTGTGTGTTTCAGCTCCGGCTGTTTTGTCATTTGGAAAATTTAAATGAAAAGACAATTTTGAGGTCCAATTTCATCTTAATTTCCAGAATTCGACACAAGTTTATAAAATGATATATTAACTATAAAAGTATTATCTTTGAAACTATACAAATATAAATATAATATATAAGCTCACATAAAATAGAATCTCCATAAATGTAGAGTAAATACGAAAATTTAAATATTTAAAATTGTATCAGGTTGAATTCAAAGCTAAAAGTTGGCAACAATTGAATTGAGTTTAGCGAAAGTGTTTTGGGGTTAGAGTAATAGCAAAATTAGTGATACAATAAAGTGTAACAAATAGGTTTGGAAATTAATTTCTATGAAAACAAATGTTAGGAATAAATAGAAATTGAGTCAAAATTAGTCTGAAAAGAGTGGACACAAATAATTTAGAAAAGCAGGGCTTCGACTGCAAAATAATGGGTAAGAACTGTAGAAACAAATGTGACATTTATTCAGACAAATCTTTTATTCAAGAGCTAAACAACGCTAGGATGTCGTGCATAATATGTGTAATGCCCGACACCAGAATCAACTCATATACCAGCCCTGTATTGGCTAACACTTTAATCTCTTATGTCGAGGTTTGGTCAGAACTTGAGTTCCAGTGCCTCTGATCGCCAAACAAAGTGAGCCTTTAGTTGCCGAGTAGTCTTCAAATAACAAACGAGTATTTTTCTGCTAATCCTTAAGCTTATGATTATAAAACCGATGAGAGACTGACTGGTAGTCGAAAAGTAATACTAAATAGTTAGTCGATCGCAGAAAAAATACTGATTTCACAACTCCTTACATATCAAAGTCGCTTTTGATTGAACGTCAGTCTTGTGTTACACCGCTATTGCTAACCATTGCTAACAAACAGATAAAATATAAAACAAACTCAATCTGAAAACCGAGTAATTTATTTTACTTTTCACTCTCTTCCCTCCCATAGTCTCTCTCTCTCTCTCTCTCTCTCACTCTCTCTCACTCACTCACTCACTCACTCTCACCACTACTCACTTATTCTTAGACTAAACACTATTTTTGAGATAACAAATAGATGTATCACTTATTTCTTTAAATATTTTTCAATTTTTATTAACACATCATTAAACTCCTATCATATCTGTCCCGATCTGTGGAATCGATTTTTTATTTCTCTCTCGTTTTTCTTTAGTTAAAAACAAATTTTAGAAAAGATTTGTATTTCTCTTCTCTTTTCTCTACTCTTCATTCGAGAGGAGAGTTTTAGCCGCAAAATGGGCTGTAAGTCAGCCCAACCCCTGAAATCATACTTTTCTGTCAAGAAAACGATAGTTTAAAATCAGAAAACAACTAATCATTGCCTCAAAAAATTGAAGTTTGAGTTAAAGTTAGAGTTATTTTTGCGGACAAAATATAAATGCATGACATGATACCAGTGCTCTAAACATGTTTCAAACAGATCGCACAGTTTTGTCATTTTATATGATTGAGAGCTGAGATAAAATATATGTGACTGAGAGAGAGAGAGAGAGAGAGAGACCGACCCAATGCTAACACTCTATGATTTCATGAATATTTATCCATAAAATGGGTTAAAGATTAGACACCATTAGAGACTCAAGGAATACGAACACTAAACATATTTTTCATTCATAATAGATTGCATTTAAAAACAATTCTCAATTAATATAAAAAACAGAAAATAACTTCATAAACAAAAATCTTTGTAAATTGATTGCACACACACTTTGAGTCTAATTTATTAAGGGTATGGCGTATGGCATGCGGCTCACGATGAGAGCACAGGCACAACATGGCATAGCATAGCACAGGTGCTTTTATATAAATATAAAGTATTATAAGTCAGAAATGAAAAGCTAATGATATAAAATATACCGTAGTATTTGTGTTGGCATTGCATAGAGTCTATGGAGTATACGCTGTGCACTGTCTCCCTGTGTCTACACTACAGTATTCTGTGGAACTGGAGCTCAATGTATTGACTCAATCGAGTGTACAGAGAGTATGCAATTCTGTACTAAATTATCAAATTGCCTGCAATTGCATTGCCTGTTGCTTAGCCCAGAAAAGAAGGTCACAAACACTTTGTCTTTCAGTTGTTGTCTGTTTGTGTGTTTGTTACCATTTATTGTAATTAACTTTTTTTCAATTGATATTTATTTCAAATCTTGATCGCCTCTTCTCTTTATTCAAGTTTGTATTGTATTGATAGCAAAACTCTTGTCTTTTTGGCGCACAGACCACAGCCAATGGTAACCAAACATAACATGTTTGAAAACATATTGCATTTTATCCCGAATTGGATGTAAGAGTAAACATCAATCGCGACGCCAATAAAAACGAGATATAATTGGGATATAAAAGCATTTTTCGAAATGAAATTTTTTTTCTATTCATTCAATTTATGAAAAACTTAATAATTTTGACAATCAGTTTATAATCTTTCGGGTCTTTTGTTTTGTCACTAAAATCTGATCATAAATTGTGAGCGAAATATATTTTTGCGACAAAAACCCCTACAGAATCGACTCAATTCTTAGATTGTATGCAAAACCTATGAAATTCTGTTCAATGCTTGCAGTATTGGGTTCTTTATTATGATAGCATAGAGTGTGTGAGTAGTGCACTGGTGTTGGAAACGGGTGTTAGTGCAGGGGTGGGTGGCTTTAGTGAATGATATTTCATTTGCCACTGCAGTCACTACACTGTTCCTCAATCTCTTTCTTACTTTCAATGGTGACATAAACTGAAGGGAAATACAACAACCAGTAGGCGAACGCTCAAAATGACTGTTCAGTTGGATATGAGATGGAAAAGTAGGGAATCACTGGCAAAATAGGAGACCCGCCGTCAGATTGTATTATCGATCCGTACATTGCATTGCATTCCAACGTACAGTGCGTTCACAGAACACATAAAAGAAGCTGAGCTCTCACTGTAAACCCAATGGTTGTCCCGTTAACATACAAATGCAAACGCTCGCAGCCAACAGCCAGTGCACTGCCAGTGCTCCTAATGCCAGTGCCATACATGCATACAATGCACACACACTCGCTCTCTCACCAGTTCTCCAATTCACTGGATTCACTGGATCTGAATTTTCAGACATAAACTCACATTTTGCCCAAAACTCAACTGAGAATTGAGTTGCAATTCAGAGCAGAGAGAACATAGAATGCACTACAGCTATACTGCACTGTACTCGTACTGGAGAGAGAGAGAGAGAGAGAGAGAGCGAGAGAGAGTTACGAAAGAGATTAGAGTGCATAGAGATAGAGCACAAGAGTGTAGAGAGGGAAGCAAAGAGAGTACAGTTAACAGCTATATATTAAGCCATAAAATTGCACTCTATTTCGATGTGAACTTTAGTGCTGCAGTCATATAAAAATAGGTGGAAAAGGTTTGTCACAACCACTGCCTTCACTTCGCACTCAAACTACAAACACTGGAAATACATTAATATTCCGATAGAATTTCAATTCAAATTTCATGGTATTTATGAGAAACTCAAAAACATTGTCCACTTTTGGTGTTTGTTATGACCGAAAACAGTGAACCCCTCCAAACCCTCACATGGATTCAAATAATCAAATTAAGGATTAGTATGAAGTGAAGGACCCCTGAAATCATACTTTCAAGTCATACACATTCGTGAAGAAAACTTTAAAGAAAGCTTTTGATTGACTCTCTCTTGCCTTTCATCCATACTATTGCTATGCGAATAGATATACGCCAACAGTCCTCCCAATCCCTTACAGTTTGTAAAGCATTGCTATCAATGCAATGGCACACAATCTAATAACGTTACGCATAAGCACCTTCACTATAGTCAGCCCTACACTCCCTTTTCCCAATTCATTTATTTCAGTACAAGTCATACATTAAAATACAGCACAACTACCCATACCTCAGCCCAAAGCTGTCTGTATTTTGTGATAACATTAATAAACTTTTATATAAAAAATAGCAAAAACTAAAACAAATTCATAATACATGAGTACATACTTGTGTAGACTTAGAGCAGGGAACGTATAACACCTGTTCGGCTATACTCTTGAGCTCCAGTGCCGCCAGATTCTGGGGTCCGAGTCGGAAGCCCTTGGCTTTCACCCAAAAGCGAAACTTGGAGTTCTCGACGTTAGTGCCCTCCTCTCCCTTCAGAATCTTCAGGATTCTGTTGTACTTCTTTTTGGTGACCGTCTTTGTCTTCGCAGAATCGCCGTATGTCTTGAGAGCCCACACCTGATATGAATCATACATTGATTTGTGGCTCGACTTCAGGGCATTGGCGGCGCTTTTGTCTGAGTTGGCGGTCGGCTCGCCCTTCAGCTGAAGCCCATTATTGTTCGAGGCGTACGACTGGAGGCTGAGCTCGAAGTCGTGGTCAGCCGATGAGGACATGATGGTGCAGATGGCCTCCTGGGCGACGGCCGCCGCCACTCGGGTCGCCGAATGTCTTCTATTGTCCATCGAATGGTCGACTGGTCTCACACTCTGAGTATCGATCAGTTTATTCTGTATTTCAGTACTCAATACGGGTTGGAGTAGAGAAGCACTGAATTAGAGAATAGCTGTTATTGCTATGAGTAGTCGAGTAGTCTGTCTGTGGGCTATCCTAAACGCATACAACGGTTATATCCCTCTCCCGTATGCGCTGCGCACACAATATTGCGGGCAATCACACACTCCCGGTGCGAGACATTGCTTTACAAGTGGTAGAGCA